ATGTCAGTTTGCAAATTTCCCCATACCCAGTAGGAAGCATCTCTGCTTAGAGAGATGTTTGTGTGTTCCATTTTAATTCTCTGGTTGTTTTAGTGCTTAGGTTTCCTCTTTATTGAAGAGAATAGAGGAAGAGGAACAGTGGAATTCACCTTGCCCCCCCCCCCACTGGTGCAGCCATCAAATGTGCATTGAGTCATTATCAGGAAGGGAAATTTGTGTATGCACACCACCAATGAGATTCAAGAACTGATCTGACTTAAGAGGCAAAGTCACTGTTATGATGCATCACCGCTCTCTACGCAGTTGCTCAGTCAGAAAAGCAACTCAGATTAATAAGGTCCTTTCAATGACCTGTGCCCACAAGTCATGTTTACCAGCAAGTCTCTTTAAGAATTAAAAGGAGGATTTTTTAAATCATTTACACTCCCCAATTTATTTTTATATTCACTTTCCTATAGGTCATTTGTGTTCTCAGAAAATAATTAATTTGCAACTTATACCATCCAGAGCAGTTCCTATCAGCATAAACAAGGGCTGTTATATAATTTGTTATCTGTGTGCATGTAAGACCTTGTAGTGTACCTTTCAAAACGTGCATTTGGAGCTCAAAAAGGGGATAATAATACTGGCTAGATCCAGCTACAGTCTAGACAGGAGAGGTGAAATCTTGCCCAGCCCCCATAGTTTTGCCAATGTGTCTCGATTGTCATCTACAACCCTATTGCTTATTTTAGTCTAGGACTTTCCCTGAATGGAGATTGTTAGTCATAGAGAATTGTGAAGGAGTTTGGCAATATACACAACCCCCCACCAGAGATTAGGCGGAAGCCACCAAACTCAATTTCTTTTTTGACCCAGGTCACTTCTAAAAATCAGGTTTCCAGATGTGAAAGGCTTAGTGCATTAACCTCCCTGTAACACCCAGCCATCTGAAATCTGCTTTTATTATAGAGGCATCTGGTAGCATTGCTATAGTTACAGACCTGGCTGAAATGGCACACATTTATCAAGAGGAACATCTTTCATATGCAGTCTTTTTACTGTATCAACTCAATCTAAATTTTTAATAGACATGAGGCAAGATGATGTAATAGTTTATGAATTCACATTTAACCTCTGGACAGCAGACTGCAGAACTTACTTTGGCTGCAATGTATAAGAGTTTGGTGGTCTCAAACTAGTCTTTGTTTGTTCACTCTAAAAACAAACCCTGTTTGACATCATTTGCACTGCCTCCCAAGGGGTCCATTAGGACGAGAGAGCAGGTGGTCTGCTGGTCAGAACTCAGGGGAAGTGGGAATGTTATGGAAGGGAAATCTTCATAGACTCTGTTGAGCTGTGTAACAGTTTACCATCTGCATGCTTGCCCCCAAAATAATTTTGTGCGCTCTTCCACTGCGAAAAAAGAAACCAAACTGTAAATGGTTCCCATCCCTCTATATCACCCCACTCTGAAGAGAGATAGCAAGATTTTAGAGTAATAAGCAGGATAATTCTTTCTGATATATCCATCAACACAGATTTATTTATATAAACTATGTGCTCATTCTTTAGCTCACTCAACATCCTGCAGCAGAAATGGAGACCACCATTGTTCTTTGCAACCCTAACAATTATTTTAGATCCGTTTAGGCCTTCAAAAGCTACCTTCGCAAGGAAAGAGGCTTTACGCTCTTTTTTTTTTTTTTTTTTTAAGTGAAAGCTGGGATCCCACCTCACATTTCTAGTTTCCCAAAAGCAGGTGGGATTGCAGCAGGGGATATCACAGGGCTTGAAAGTCAGCTCTGGACTGTACCTTAACAAGCCGAATGCTGTTAGCTCCTCCTTTTTACTAAATTGCCTTACTGATACTATTTTGTAAATTGTTCCTGTCTCTTGCCTTATGGGCTCCAAAAGGTGACAATTAGTACATTCATCCAGTGCAGTGTCTGCTCACAGGTTAGCCCTTTAAGTCATGAGATTGTCAGTTCAGAGTCTGTTACACAGTTGCCTTCTTTCAAACAGGTTAGGTGCACAACCCCATACCAAAGAAGATCAGATCCTGCTCTCTTAGGCAGAGAGATCTGCTCTAACAGGGCATTCCTGGTTAGGAAGCGGTATAGCTACAGTGTAATACAGTCCCTAAGGGTTCAGTCTGGCCTTTATAGCACAGAGCAGTTTATATGCTGCTCTAAATAATGCTAAAGGCTGCAACAGTCCCTGGCTGGTTCCAGGACTGGTAGAATGGAAAGATGGCTTAATGAAGTTCAACAAGATTCAGGAATCTGTCCCTTAATTTGCACATGTGATTAATATGAATGAATGCACAAACTGAGCAACTGTATGTACAAATGGACAATTCTGATCATTTGCACATTTACTCCATCTGTGTGCCTAACTTTCAAAATCCATACTCTTTCACAGAACTTCTGGAAAAGATATGTCACTCTCCAGGTAAGCTGCATCTATATTTCCCCTTCATGTCACCAAGGGCACCCACTTTCAGGATCCCTTCCCGTCATCATCTCTGTGGGTAGAAAATCATTGTCTCTCTCCCTTCTGACTGAGATATTTCCAGGTTGAACAGTTCCCTGCCTTCAGCGTGTTATTCCCAGCAAGACTAATAATAGCATAACTTCCCTCAGTTATAAGTTAGCACACAGTTCTCTCTCAGGAAACATATTTTATTCTGGAGATAAACAAACTACAGGAAAAAAACATTTAAAACAATAAAAGGAACCTACAATTATGCCAATAATCTTACAAGAGAATAATCCCCACCTCCTACCCAATCTCCACAAGGTCAGCATCAGTCCTCCCAACCTTTCCTTAAGGATTGGGGTCCTCCGTGGACCTCCTGATGATTTGCTGGATCAGAACAAAAAGCCCTGAGCATATTGAAAACCAGGCTATTTATCAAAAAATCCTCTCTGTCTGTTGGTCCCTGGAGAATCCAGTTTGAACTAGTATATGCAAAACTCTCCAGAGGTGGCTTCAAAGGGCTGATAACTGGAGGAATTACATTAGCATACCTGCTCCTCCTAGAGAATTTACATACAATCTCGCCATAATAAACAATTGATTTTTAATAAAATGGACCCCAAAGGCATGAAACTCATTTCAATAAGGTCTAAACCAATTCAGTAAGATTTCAGTAAGGTTTGTCCAAGATATTGCAGAATATTGTTATTTCTGTCATAGGATGTTCCATCACTTTACAGATGAGGCACCAGATTTCAGACTAATGGCATACATCCTTTGATAGGTTCCTACCCATTATGCTAGGCACAGCACAAACAAAAGATGCATATCCCCTCCCCCAACAGGTTTACCCCCTGAAGACAAAGTATAGGTATACCACACAAGTGAACTTATCAGGGTGAAGATTGTATTATGAAGACATAGCTAAAGCTTTGGATAACACATTTTTATTAGACATATGGATTCAACCAAATTCCATGAGGGGGCTGACAGAGTGAGAGTACTTAATAAGGAAGGTGCTTATTGGCTACATTTTGTGAAAACCAGAAGGAAACTATATGGCAGAGAAAGGAAGTGGCTGCAGTATTCAAGATGGGAGATAATGAAAGCCTGAAAGCATTATAGCTCTAGGGGCAGAAAGGATGGAAAGTATATCTTGGAAATGCTGTGGAGGAATAAATGGCAGAATTTCCGACGACCTGGATGTGGGGCAATGGAGATAGTTAACAGTCACAGTTGGACGTGATTTAAAGTAGAGCTATTTACTAGATCACACATTTCAGTGGCAGCAGCAAGGTACCATGAAGATTCTCACCTATTTTATTTAAGGTTTCAGAGTAGCAGCCGTGTTAGTCTGTATCCGCAAAAAGAAAACAGGAGTACTTGTGGCACCTTAGAGACTAACAAATTTATTAGAGCATAAGCTTTCGTGGACTACAGCCCACTTCTTCGGATGCATATAGAATGGAACATATATTGAGGAGATATATATACACACATACAGAGAGCATAAACAGGTGGGAGTTGTCTTACCAACTCTGAGACAGTTTGATAACTGTCTGTACTGGGCTATCTTGATTATCACTTCAAAAGTTTTTTTTCTCTTAATTAATTGGCCTCTCAGAGTTGGTAAGACAACTCCCACCTGTTTATGCTCTCTGTATGTGTGTATATATATCTCCTCAATATATGTTCCATTCTATATGCATCCAAAGAAGTGGGCTGTAGTCCACAAAAGCTTATGATCTAGTAATTTTGTTAGTCTCTAAGGACACACAAGCACTCCTGT